AGCATGTAGACAGTTTTGGGACACTTGAGGCAATATTAAAGCATATCTTCACTTTTACCCCCCTCCCCTTTTTATTTCATCCCCGCTTACCAGGAAGCAGGTTGTGCATATTTCATATATTCACTCACCCTGGAGATCCAGCTTTGTCCTGCAGAGAACCTCTTCTGTTCTGCCACCAATCAGGTCCTGTGCCTCCATGTTGTTTGTGAAGTCATTGAGTGGCCCACCAACTTCCAGATTCAGTGGGCAGGCCTCCCGATGACATGTGACAAGGCCCGCTCCCCTCTTCCTTTGTGAACTAAACACTAAAAAAAGGTAAATAACAGTGTTTTTCATGTACAGGACAGGGGAAGGAGGAGTGGAGAGGATGGGACTTTATTAAGAAGATGAAGATGTGCTTTAACCACTTTAATATCGGACACTTCCACCCTCTTCCTACCCAGGCCAATTTTTAGCTTTCAACGCTGTCACACTTTGAATGACAAAGGCACTGTACCCAAGTGAAATTTTTTCACACAAGTAGAGCTTTCTATTGGTGGCATTTAATCACCACTGAGATTTTTAATTTTTATAAACAAAAAAAGACCAACATTTTTGAAAAACCAAAAAAAGCTGTTTTTTTGTTACTGGTATAAAAGTTTGCAAATAAATAACCTTTCTTCATAAATGCTGGCCAAAATGTATACATTTCTTTGGTGAAAATAACCCAAATCAGTGTATATTATTTAGTCTGCCGGAACATTATAGAGTCTATATATATATATATATATATATATATATATATATGAAAATTGTTCAGTTCTGATGTACCGATGGTCTATCTCGTTTCTTGAAGCTGGAAAATGCCAGGAAAGTACACATATCCCCCAAATTACCCCTTTTCAGAAAGTAAACAGTTCAAAGTATTTTTTGGAACATGAATAAATAAAAAAAATAGTTTTTTGCACATACTGTCACCACTCCCATACAGTGCCATCAGGGACACTAACAGCTGACAGTATTTAAAAATAAATAAATAAACAAAAAATTTTTACATTTTTTCTTTTTTTTCTTTTAGTACATTTATTTAATTTTTTTTACATACTGCAAACAGGTGAATACAGTGTTATCATAGTAACACTGTACTACTCTGTGGAGGTGATCAGGATTTTTTTATTTTTTTTTTTTTACACACTAGGATTGCTTGTAAAATCGTGATAAAAAAGTGATAACCACTGTTATAAGCAACCGTTTTTTCTGAACAAAATCCATTCATTCAGTGTGTACTATTGTGATTATCTGTGATTGACCACAACTAATCATATGGTACAGATGGGCCATGATTGGCTCTGTCTGTACCAATTCATCACTGTGACCAATCACGGAGATCAACACAATAGTACACAATGAATGGTATGAATGGAAGCCATCCATTGTGTGCAGTTGTCATGGGTGCAGTTGTCATGTGATCGCAGTGATTAGTCACAGCGATCACATGGTACCAGCAGGGGCTCAGTACACTGGTCTGTCATACGCTGTGTCCGATGGTAGACAGATCGTGTTGCAGCACGGCCCATGAGGCGCGATCCTGGGGGGATGTCATATGACATCCACCCAGGATGGGAGAGCTCCTGTTCAGCCATCATATTACAATAGGCTGGACAGGAAGCAGTTAAGGTATTTTGCTATAGAACCCCGGAAGCACCCAGGTTGAAAAAGGCTGCTTTAGACTTGGGCTGTGCTAGTCTCCACAGCAAGATGTTTAAAATAGCAAATAATTGCTGACCAAAAATATTAGCTGCTACAGTATATAAATACAGTGAATGTTATGGAAAAATGGATTTCAAATTGGAGAATGGTAAAATCAATATGATGGCTAGCATTGTAGAAAATTTCTCAAATGGGCAAATGTGTTTTATAAATGTGGAGAATACTACAGAAATTCAGTGGTGAACAAAAGGTGGCCAAATGGTAAATCATTCTTTCACGAATTTTTAATATACAATTTAATAACGCACATTATATTATTTAGTACAAGCTACAGGTAGACATGGTGAAGACAAGCAGGCTGAATCTCACACCAACTTCTTATACCTTAGATATCCAGCAGTCAACTAGTGAACTCTCTTCTCACAGGTCTTGCCAACCTTTGGTGGTCATTATGAGGTGGTCTGACTCTTCCTACATTATTCTCAATTTGTTTTACATTACAGAGAATAAATTGCTAGGTAAAGCTTACAACTAAAGTCAGTGAAAAAAACTGAAACAATTTGGGTGATTTCAAATATCAGTTTAGGAAACAGTGGCCCCTTTATAATCATGTACTTGACAATGGCAGTGTCACAACTTTTAGATCTAATGGTATCTTCAAATGGCTACATTTGTAGCTAGTTACATATGCAAAAACAGCTCATCAAATGAACATGCAGTATTTATATATGCATCATACAACATTGATGTCATATATTCCTAAAAACAGTTGAAACATGCATAATGCATTATTGCATAATAAATGAATATACACATTAAACAGCACATTAGTGTACAAACATAATATTGAGTTCAGTGCTCCTCCGTGATTGCAAATGCTAATTTAAATGACCATTTACTCTCTCTCTGCTGATCAGCAGAATCAACTAAAAGAGCTTGAGAGCTTCTCACAGGATTCAGATAAATAACTGTTTTCAGTTTACATGGCCTTTCAAAATGAGGAACACTTTATGCCCCAAGCATATTGGAATTGATCTTGTTTAAAGCAAGTTTAACATTCAACTGAAAAACCTGGACAGATGTGGCCATTTTATTTCATCATTGTGTGCTAAAAGTAGATGTTTGTAGGAAACTTCTTGGTACATTCCTTTGCAGGAGAATAAACTCAATATTACGTACACAGTAACAATTGTTAAAGCACGGGGAAATGGTGGGATTCTAGATGTAGGAGATATGTGGAATAAAATCACATACATTCATATTGTAGCCCCAAGCATTGACTTCATTAGTGTCCAGTTACTGAAATCATTCACAGAGGCGTAGCTTGATTGAGGAAGTGCTCTTGAACTTTCTTCAAGTGTTAGGTCACATATCTGTTATTAACATGCTTGGAGATCAGATCCCATTGAAACATGTCATAAGAAATGTCTGTTACTTTCTCAGCTAGTCAAATGACTAAACATGGACTGCCAGGCATGAACAGTATGAACATAACTAAAGTTCACATGACCGCTGGTGCAAATTTTTAACAGCCACTTAATCAGAGCTCACACAATAATTCTACTCATCTGTTTAATAAATGAGGTATAGATTGAGGTATAGAACTTCAGAAAGCCTACAGCTGATAACAGCACATAAAAAAAAATAACATCTTTTGTAAAGACAGTAATGTAGGTGCTGGCAAACAAGGGGAGTAGCGATCCTATATGGGACCCTGATCTCCTGAGCCTAGGAGTCGTTTCATCCACTCCCCTTCTACTTATTCTATATTGTACAAGCTTCTTATGAGATGCTATAGTGTGTACACAAACAAAAATAAAACAAGCATTTATGTTTATTGAATGGGACTTGAGCATGTAAAACTTTGAGTGTCCTCCACAGATAACCCCAAAAGGAAAAAAACAACTAAATAGACAAAATCGTGAACAAAATAAAGTTGTGCTTGCTGCCTGATATAAAAATAGAAAAAATACTTTTAATATATCAATCAGGCATATATATATATATATATATATATATATATATATATATATATATATCCATATATGGACCATTACAATCTCAAGTCATTTGCAAAATGGCAATCTATTGGAAACTGGCTTTATCCCATAGTAATTGGAGTACCACTGAGGGCTAATTCAACGTGTGTTAGAACAATGCAAAGCAGGGGATCCTCAAGGGAATGCCTGAAGATTCTCATCATATTTGCAGGAAGAGAGATGCAAGGTTGGTCAGGGTTGATGTTCTGGGTTAGGTTGATGTTGGTTGCCTGGAGTATAACTAAAGGCTAAACCTTTTTTTTTTTAGTTTTGGATAGTGTAAAGAGGTACAAGAACACTTGTTGGGTTTTTATTGCTGTCTGTGTCCCTATTTGGGGAGATTCACATATTTGTCCTGTTTACGATTATCATCGAAAGTGTAACTAAGTTAGGGTGTCTGAAAACTCCTTGAGCCACAGTAAGCTGTGCATCAATCCAGCATGCACTTGAAAAGCACACTTAGGTAGCCTATAGGTGAGTCAATTTTTTTTTTTATTCAACCAGTAGGTTGAATGAAAAAAAAATAATGACATGATTCCCCCATCCACACACTTGGGGAAATCCAGGCTCACTTCTGGATAGAAGCATCAAGGTTTTCTTGTCAAAGCTGAACTAAGTAAGCTGAGGTTAGATGCTGATTGGTTTCTATGCAGAAATGAGCCTGATTTTGCATTCCGACAGTGAGACTTCCCTGCAGATACTGTATACAGTACATATAGGTATTGGGTTTGGACTTTGCAGTAATCAAATTCATGACCGTATATAATGTCATTCAGTCCAACATCTGTGTGCCATCTTTTGCTGATAATACACCCCATCCAGTTAAACATGATCTCTCTGCAGCTCTGGTCGATTAATTCTGTTCATATAATGAGAGGCATGTTACTCTAAAAACTGTTCTTTTACAGGCTGTACCAACATCCCATATATTACTTAAAGCGGAGTTCCACTCACGCTGTCAAAAAATAAAAGTTAGCAGCTACAAAAACTGTAGCTGCTGACTTTTAAAAAAACAGACACTTACCTGTCCCTCTGTCCCGTGGTGTGTCCCCTGCAGCCCGTTTCACCAGCCGTCCTGTATTCCAGGAGGCCGGCATCTTCAGTGTGGGCACCCGGCTGTGATAGCTTGCGGCTTCACAGCCGGGTTCCCACTGCGCATGCGCGAGTAGCGCTGTGCTTCATGAATGGTCCCGTAGTCTTCTGAGACCTGTCACGTGTCCCAAAAGACTACAAGGAGGGAGGACACCTTCCGCTTCCGATCGCCTAGGCGATTGGACCGGAAGTGGGAGCGGGTACCTGTCAAATTCAGGTACCTGCCCCCCCGCCCCAAAAGTGCCAATCCTTAATGGGGAGCGGGGGAGCAGTCATTAAAGCAGAAATTCCCCTTTTGGGTGGAACTCCGCTTTAACCATAGATAAAGATAAAAAAGAACCACAGTCTGGTGGATCCTTTTGGAAATTTTAAGGTACCTCACTTCTCAATAAATCAACATTTTATCTCAAATCCATTTTGTCTTTATTACTGTATATCTTTAAAAAACTATTTTTTCTTAAAAAGTTTTTTTATACAGCATATATGATGCTCCAATGCATAAAACATTTACCATAGACCTATACATCATATATCCTCTTGTATTTTTTCCCCCAACATCAACCTTCATTTTTTTTTGGGCTTTTCCAAGTTTGAGGAGCTTCTTGACATGTTTCTTAGGCAAGATGAGCTGCTTTTTTCTGAAAAAAAAAATTCAGCTGACTACCCCATGCATGAGAAACTCACAAAAGTGCCTTTTTTTAAAATTGCGCCATACCTTAAAGGATAAGTTCACCTTTCCGGGCAGAATTACACTTTTCGTAATAAATAGAAACATTTTCCAATGCCATTTCTGACCCAGCCATCCCAGTGTGCTTTTCTCTCACTTACCTCATCCACAGGACGTTTAATTTTTTGTCAGTTTCTGTGAGATTTTGAACAGATTTTCAGATTGCATCATTTCCTGTTGATGGCCTCTCAGCATTCACTTCCTGTAGGCCACCTCCCAGAAGCCTTCACTTCCTTGTTGCATCACAGAAGAGGATGTGATAGGATATACAGTATTCACCACTCTGGACCACACCTCCCTCATTACAATATCACCTAACTCCCATCAGCAATGTAGTACAAGGGCCTGTCCGATTTCATACCAGTGGAATAGATTAGTTAGGTGTGTCCTTGTATTCCACAGTTCTGGTAAATCTAAAGGAAATTGTACAGAGATTGTACAATCAGATTGCATAGGGTATGACCATCTTATGCAAGTACATAGGAGGGAGTGGATGGAGACACATGTCAGGCCTCATTCACATCTCCATGTAATGAAGACTCACATTCCCACATGCATTTGTTTTGGGCGTTTTGGAGTGGTTACACTCAACACACATAGGGCAACCCATTCACTTGAATGGTCTGCCATACACGCAACAATTGCCCCAGAAAATCTCCAGAACCTTTTTTGGAGCAGAGCACGGTGCATTACTGATGTTTTTGGTGTGTTTGCCATGCCTTTAACATGTGGTTACAACACAAACACGATGCACATTTGCAGCGTGTTTCAGAAATGGATTGCAACGAGTGCATTTTCTGTGCAGATTGCCATACGTTTGGAAACACATAGATGTGAATGGAGCCTCTTTGTTCTGTGTAAATGCAGCAATTTCAGTTTCAGGCTCCATTCACACCAAGAGTAGTGGGAACCAGGGGCGGACTGACAATTAATGGGGCCCCCGGGCAATAGGGGATCAAGGGGCCCCTGTGTCCTTGCCCAAACTCGAAAAAGCCTATGAAAAAGGTACCAGGGGCATCTCATGGGGCCCCCTACTGACCCTGGGCCCTCGGGCAGTGCCTGAGTTTCCAAATGGTCAGTCTGCCTCTGGTGGGAACGCATGTTTTATGGCTTGTTTTTCCAGTGAAACACATTGGGCAGCCCGTTGATTTCAATGGGCTGCACTACACATGGCAAAAAAGTCCATGGGACATTTTGGCATGATGTGTTTTGCACATTTTTTACTGCGCATTTTGCTGCATTTGTCAACTCGTTACTTTTGTGTGTATAAATGTGGCCATACACTATACAATCTGATTGTATAATCTCTGTACAATCTCTTTTAGATTTACCAAAACTATATAATAGGAGGACACAGCATCTATCCAACTGCTCTGCATCAAGCAGGCTCTTACATTACATCAGTGATGTCCCATGGGCTGCATGCGGCCTGAGCCCATCTGAAGGGATGATGGGGCAGCCAGGCAAATGAACGTGCGGAGAGATCCCGGGGATGCTGTGAAAAAATAGTTGATGGGTGAAGGGTGTGATAATGAGATCAGTGCAGGATGTGTGCTAATGAGATCAGCTGGTAATCTGCTTCTGGGGTCCTACTGGCTCCTCTGTCCTCTGTCTACATTCCAGGAATTGAAAAAGCTTTCTAAGAAATTTAGCAAAGGCTAAGGTAAGGCCTTGCTCTCCAGATCAAAGAGAGCTTGAATATTTTCACAACTGTGGTACATTAATGATATCTTGTTGTGTAGGGGAGCTGGATTTTATAAAAAAAAGAAGTGAACTAATTAGGCTCCATGTACACAGGACACTTCTGAACGATGGAAACTGACTGCTGGAAAACGTAGGTTAAAAAACGTCTGTTTACATACCGCGTTTATGCACGTTTATGAGCGTTTGCGTTTAGAAGCTTTTTTTAAAGATAACCTTCCAAAATGTCCAGAATGCACAGTAAAAAATTTACTATTTCAGACATTTTGAGAGAAATAGAGCAGAAGCAGAGAGTGCAGTATTTGTTGAGATTAGCTGTCTTTTTTTTTTTTTTTGTGGTGTTTGGCTGTGTTCCAGCTCATTTCTGTGCAGAAAGTATTGCAGTAGTGTCTAACATACAGTATTTTCTTTCATACGAAACCTCATAGTATGGTGTACCAGGTCCATTTGAGTACTGGGAAAACGCTTTTTCATGATGAAAAAAAGGCTCTGGACAGCATCTGGAAATGGAAGAGTTAAAAAAAGTTCCAAACGCTTCTAAACACGGTTAGCCGCGTTTACACACATTTACAAGCATTTGACATTTGAAACGCTGATAAAATCTACTCCTGAACGCAAGTTTGGTGCGTTCAAAAAGACGACTGTAAACTCAACTGCCTGAAAATGACTGTAAAGGACATAGTGTACATGGACAAATAGGAAAACATTAGGGAGAGTTCAGGGGCTGCTGAAAAAAACACTGAACAGCTCCTAAACATGCGTTTATCAGCTGCAGTACATGGAGCCCAGTCTATGTTAAAGCGGAGCTCCACCCAAAAGGACTGCTCCCCCGATCCCCATTAAGGATTGGCACCTTTGGGGGCGGGGGGGAGCGGGTACCCAAATTTGACAGGTACCCGCTCACATTTCCGGTCCAATCGCCTAGGCGATCGGAAGCGGAAGGTGTCCTCCCTCCCTGTAGTCTTTTGGGACACGAGACAGGTCCCAGAAGACTACAGGACCATTTATGAAGTGCAGCGCTACTCACGCATGCGCAGAGGGTACCCGGCTGTGAAGCCGCAAGCTATCACAGCCAGGTGCCCACACTGAAGATGCCGGCCTCCTGGAATACAGGACGGCCGGTGAAACGGGCTGCAGGGGACACACGAGGGACAGGTAAGTGTCTGTTTTTTAAAAATCAGCAGGTACAGTTTTTTGTAGCTGCTGACTTTTATTTTTTGACAGGGTGAGTGGAACTCCGCTTTACGTATAGGCTTAACATATGTTAGCAAGATGTGTGCAGATTCAAAGAGGATCTTCAGGCATTCCCGAGGATCTCCTGCTTCTCGTTGCCATGCCTAACGTATGTTGAGGTTAGCCCTCAGTAGTACTCTGTTTACTGTGAGACAAGTCAACTGTTTCCGGCATAAAAAAAGTTTTGGCACCAAACCAGACCCAGTCGATAGATTACCATGAATACAAGTCTTAAGACACTGCTGTCCAAAACCATTCTCACTACAGTGACTGAAAACCTGGTGTTTTAGGGTTTGAGTTCTCATCTTTTCATGTATTTTCTACTAATATGTCTGTTGCTGAATCAAAGTATCCAACATTTTACATGTAAGAAAACCATACTGAATAACCATAATGATAAATAGAAGAAAACATAATCTGACAAAAGAATGGGCCTCATATTCTCAACACTAGGTTTCTCACTATTGAAAGTGGTTTATCTCAATAACCCAGGCTATCTTCTTGATCTGTGAAAGCTTGCATTGTATGAAGTAATGAATCGGAGTATAATAGTTCTTCTGTAGTAGAGCCTGTGAAAATGGCTACATCTCTCATTGATAACACATTTTAATTGCCTACAATCAACCACAATTGTAAGATTTTTTTTTTATTTTAAGTTTTGAGTACCTCAAATCAAGCTACATAAAACCAGTCATCTGCAGATAGTTTCAGGTTTAGACCTAAAGCTGGCCATAAATGGATTGAAATTTGCCTGGTTTGGCTGAATTCTAATCCATCTATGGCCGTTCTGAGTTTGAGAGGAGTCGATCTAATGATCAGCTCCTCACGAACAGGACTATTATTTTATTTCAATCAGAGCTTACAGCCAATAAATGCCAGTGATAATCAGTGTATTCTGAAAGCAGAGTAGTCCCACTGACAGAACGAAAGAGCACAGCTGAGAGGATTCCCAAATCCACCTCAAATGTGTGAACGGGAATCCGTAAAAAAAAAAAAGATCAATCTATGGCCAACTTTACCTCTTATTTTTCAAGTCAGGTCTGTACCATTTCCTCCTGCATGAGGTTATATGTTTCACTATACTCTTCTCAACACCAAAGAATTTAAAGCTCTGATACCCCAACATTTTCATATTCCTGATATGTGCCTGTTGTACCACGTGCTTCCTTTGTGTAAAATACCTGGTAATCCTGCCAGTCCCCCTGCTTTCCTATTTCAATCTGACCATGCCAGGCATGAAAGCTCATCCATCCCTGCATGATCAGTTTGTCTCTTTGCATTCTACTTGGGAGCACAGCCTGCCTGTACTCCAGCAGTCAGACATGTGCTCACATGCCCCTCTGCACATCTCTTCGGTGGGAGATCAGTGTACTGCTCTTTCTCTGACTGCTGCAGACACGTCCCCTGCAGTCTCCACCCCCATATCTCTAGTCCCTTGCTGCTGAGAGGTCATGTGATCACTCATACAGAAATTAAATTAAAAAAGTATTTCTAATTTTCTTATATACTGTATGGGTTATTATATCACTGGGATTAACTGCATATACGTGCATAGTCTACTGCAATAATTATATAGGTGTACGTGCGCGCAGTCCCAAACACAGACAGTTTTAGGCCTCTCATCTGTACCTATACTTTGTTAGAGAACTTTCCCCAGAGCTTAGTGATTGCAGTGAAATTTACAAAGAATACCCAATCATGTGCAAGAAAATAATTTTAAAAATGCAAAATTCCCAGGCAAAGTACCTTTCCCTTGCAAAGTGAACAGTCTATTTGTTTTTAGTAAATCATCCCCATTACCTCTATGTTAACGTCTATATTCAAAGAGTGAAATTGACCTGATGTTCCCACCCTTTTCTTGGAGGGGATATTTCAACTTCCAGTGCAGGAGTATCAGTTTTTTGAAAGAGTGAAAGAGTGCATGAGCAATTGGCTTCGGTTTGCTCTATATTAACCTGCATATCATCTACTGTACCCAATACCCAATCTGTCAGGTCCAAGGGATTTGCGATCTAAAATAGGATTCAAGGTTAGCATTATTTTTTGTTAAGGATGTACTCATCTGCATATGGCCAGGATATTACCTGCTTAACACACCTATATTAATTTTTTTTTAAAGAAGTGATTGGAATAGATTTATTTTAAGGGTTTCCAGTCATTCCTGCCTGGCTATATGTGCAATACCCTGAATCTGGGTAAAGCTGGGTATTGGCATCACCCAGAAAGAAGATTTTCTCATGACAAAAGAAATGTAGATATGCAAAAAAGAAGGTACTTTGGATGGGTAAGGGGTTATTATGGAAAAAGACTTGTCAAGAAATGATCTTTAGGTTAAAGGGGAATTTTTTAAAAAGCTTCTTAGAAGACGAGAACATATTTTAATATCTTAGTCTCTGCAGCACTGTTTGTTCTTGGGTGCAATAAAATGCAAAGGAGAAGAGAACAGGACATGTATTGTATACAGGGATACCTGTTTAACTGTACAGGGATAGTTTCATCTTCCAAGAAAATGTGGGTTCTCTATGCTGGAAAAAGAGCATTTTCCCTGATATTAATCATCCCTAAGTGAATAGTGAATTTTTACACATACAGCTGCAGTCAAATCCATGAGGTCAAAGTGGATCCAAGTTATAAGTTACAAGCTTTCTTTGAATTACTATTCTTCTTGAAAAATAATATTCTTCAAGCATATTAGTTACACAAATCAATAACCAGTGTTGAGCTAAAAAATATATATGTGCAAAAAATCAAAGAAAGAATGTGACAATATTATAAAAACAAATACATGAACACAAAAATTTAAATTGAAGTGAATAATGAAAATAATCTAATTTGAGTAAAAAAAGTGATAATATATTGAGTGAAGAAAAACATCCCAAAAAGAAGAGATGTATGAAGAATTTTTTTCCAATTGTGAAATTATATAACAGTTCCCTTTCAGGTAAACGCTCCAAAATCATCTCTTAGGCTGCATTCATGCTTTAGCGTTTTGTAGCTTAAAGCTCGAAGTTTGAAGTTTCATCATACCAGATCTCCTATCCTAGCCCAGGGAAGATGTCTGGCATGACAAAACGCGTTGGGAAGAGCCTTTCCTGTGACGTCATCATGTGCGAATTTACCAGACGTGCAGCTTTCCATGCCGTTTGGTGACTATATTTCTACACTATGAGAGATATATTTTTTTATTTTTATATGAAGTGTATATGCATGCTGTGTGTTCGTGGTCATATGAGGAGCGACTTGAGTTGCTGTGGTCTGGCTTGACACACGATTCCCACCTTGGTTTATTACTAAAGTGCATGCTGACCTCTCTGAACAAGGGGGTCATTATATCTGGTGAGCATCCATCTTGTGTCCACAGTGGTGTTGAGTGACACTGGTGTTTATTGAAGACTAAGAAATGATTTTGAGCTTTTACCTTAATGGAGACTGTTATATAATATCACAATTGTAAAATAATTCTTCATACATCTCTTTTTGGGACATTTTTCTTCGCTCAGTATTTAATCACTTTTTTCCCTTGAATAAGATTATTTTCATTAAGCACTTCAATTTATATTTTTATGTTTCATTTATTTGTTTATAATATTGTCCCATTCTTTCTTGTTTTTTTATGCACATTTATATTTATTAGCGCAACACTGGCTATTGATTTGTTTATTGGAGAGGATATGCTCTTTTTGTGTTTGCTGCTTTTGTTTATTTTTGCACTTAATTGCGCGGTTTCATTTTTTCATTTTTTGCTATTTATTAAAATGTTATATTTCCTGTCGACAAAATCACTCCCAAAAAAAAGCTCAAAAACAGTGCATTTTTGTTGCCATTAAGAACATATGCTAAGTGTTAAGTTTCCACTTCAATGTGTAGGGGCCTTGTTGGAAATGGAGCATTGTTTATAATATGTCCATATTAGAAAAACACTGGGCTTGCCAAGGGAAAAGTTGTAACAGGTATAGGCTCAGTGAGTTCATTAGTGAATGGACATATAACACATATTATCTTTATGGTTGGATGGATGAATGACCTGCCAAGGCATAGATTCCCATGGTGAAGTGTTGCTCAATAAACAAACATTCGGTTGCGTGCCAAGACAAGGTAGTGATCCACTGTAGGTTGTGCGTGTGTGTAGATTGGCAAAGCTGCCTGCATGGTCTGCAAACATGTTCAGAATGTCACTTCAAAAAAAACATTTATGATAAATAGATGATTGAATCAACCTACTTTTGTCAAATTTGAGTATAGCATTGCTTTGTACGCATATATTCATGCAGCTTTTGTAAGCCTTTCAGCGTCTAGTGATTTTTAGTATTTCTTAGTCTCTAGTGTGAGGTTTTAAAAGTGTACAAGACCAAGTTTATTAGGTTTGTTGGGATAATAAGTATATTGCTCAATGTCTTATGAGCTGATTCATAGATGTTTGGTTGCACTGGCAACATAGTCTGGTAACAGGGATAGCAAGGCACGGACTGATTTATGAACCATGTACTGAAGTCAGCACAGCTGCAAAGTGCTTTTTGGCTTACCTCTCTTATTCCCACATTCACTTGCTCTAATAGGTAAACACAATCCATGAACTGGGAATTGTCACTGCGTGAGAATATTTCTGTATATTATCATTAAATAGCTATGCTGAGCTGATACAAGAACCTTTGGTGACCTGTTTGCACATGATTCTGGCTGCTGTAGATGCTTCTCTTCAAGGTCCTTTTTGTTGTGGGTTTTTTTTTTTTTTGTTTGGTAAAGGTACTGAAAGCATAAGGCCCCTTTCACATGATCAGACCGTCTTTTCATTTTTCATCCATCCGTTGACGGATGAAAAACAGATAGCAATGTATTTCTATGGACCAATGTATGTGAATGGATGATCATCCATTTACCATCTGTTTACAATCCATTCCAGTCTGTTTTTTAAG